GCTGCCTCTATCCGCTCGCTGGAGGGGACGGTGTCGCCAGCCGGAGCAGAAAGCCTTAGGATGCAAAACGCTGGAAGCCGCCGACGTCGCACACCGCTCAAAGCCGAGCCGGCGATGCCGCCGTGGCAGTCTGAGGGCGGGGTGATGGACTACCTTCCTCTCTCAGGTTGTCTGACAACTGGATTTCGATGCTGTTGCATACGTCAGCACCTCCTTTGCTTGTTTATGTGCTGGTCTACGTTATGGACAACAGTGTAGCAACGTTTATCGTGGCTGTTGAAAACAAGGATGTGAGGCTGGACATGGATTTGTGTGTGTAGCGGTTTGAGCAGAATTTTGTTCTTTTTGGAAGCATTGTAAAGACAAAACCGTATATTTACAGGGACAGGAAGGAATGGGCAGATATTGAACCTGTGCCTCAAAACGATGGGCCAAGTCCTGTTGTTCAGATCATCTACAGTGAAAAATGTAAGTTTTAAACGTGTTCTGCACTGAAAACTTAAGATGGTTAGATTTATGCCTGTCCTTAGTGTTGTTAAAGCAAGACTTCACCTTTTGAATAACATGTTTCCTAAAGTAATACTGTGAAGAAGTTAATTTAATAGTTATGGTGGTTGCGTGTGATGTTTTCACCAAGCATCTCTGAAGTTGAGTTTTCACCTGAGATGTTAACAGCTGAAGTTTTATTTTAAAATCATATGACTTAAGAGGCAATGCAACAGACAGCCTGATTCACACAATAAGACATTTAAAGCCCACAAATGGAAGAGAAATGTATGGAGCTACTGCATCTGGGGAAGTAGTGTGAGTAAGGAGCAAGGAACTTTTCTGATTGTTTTGAATGTTATTCAGATGGTGTATTTTTAAAATATTTTTTGCAGTTTTTCAGCATGCTAGTATCATTAGAGGTTTCAATCAACAGTACTGTCAATACGTAGCTATCATTTTAGAGCAATATGTAAATTACAAGCAACGTGTAGCTACCATTTTGAAGAAGTGTATTTAAAGTACATGACATACGAAGTAACTTCAATGGTTTATTAACCTTACCCCCTAATCAGGCCGTTGCCTCATAGCCTTGTTATCTGTTTAGTTCGAGATGTCTATGATTATTTCCGGGCTGTTCTGCAGCGGGATGAGAGAAGTGAAAGAGCTTTCAAGCTAACAGCAGATGCCATTGAATTAAACGCTGCAAACTACACAGTATGGTAAGTGATAATATTTGGATTATTTCTATTGTCATTTGATTGCCGACCTCATATGTCTTTAAAAATTTTATTAGTCTAATCAGGGCGTGACTAGTTGAGTTTCCCCAGAGAAGTAGTCTTCTGTGTAACTTTCCAGTGAGCTCCTGAAGAAAGCCTTTGTTCAGTATTTTCCGTGTCTCATTTTGATTTGGTGGTTTTCATTCATTGGCTTTGAGGATATTATCAATCAAGGTCAGGATTATCCACAGAAAGAACTTCGCTGTTTAAAATTAGGTCACTTTCCTGGTAACATGGCCTTAGCAAAATGCTGAAGATGCCCTCAGTTGACTTCAAGAAGAGACATAAAAGCATGATTGCTGCTATTTCCTGGTAAATAATTGTATCCTTACTATATAGTGCGTTTTAGAAGATCTGTCAGCTTAACGTTCAGTTAGGTAATGAAAAAACAGTGATACCCGGCTAGTACTCGGAGTAGGGCCTTTTAACTCTTGAATGCTAACAAGTAGCTCTTGTACGTCTTTATTCCACTAACTTGCATAAAATCAGAAAGTTTACACAGAAGTCATAGTTTCTGTGGTAAGACTAGTGTGGGTAGACAGAGGTTAATTTGAAACAGGATTGCTGTGATCTTAGATAACATGCTGTTGTAACAAGTTGCATTCCAGTTCTCCACTGTTCAATAATTGAATGGCCTTTAAGAGAACTGGACACATGGTTTAGTTTTTTGCACTCGTTTTAACTTGGTATCTATTAGAAGAACTGTGAACAAAGGTTCTTCTGTGTTGTCCTCTGAGAATTTTAGGAAAGCCCTGTTGCGGTGTCCGAATGCTTGATTTTCATACAGGCATTTCCGGAGAGTCCTCTTGCAGTCTTTGGGAAAGGATCTCCATGAGGAACTCAAGTATATTACAGCTATCATTGAAGATCAACCAAAGAACTACCAAGTCTGGTAAAGTCATACTTTCTTTTCAGTTCTTAACATTTTTGCAGATAATTTTTGTTTTGTAAATTGTCCGTGATAAGTTGTGATCGTTGATCCTAAAAGTCGTTAGGAGTTGCCTCCTGCATCTACTCCAGTGGCAGTGGTGGAGGAGTTAAATGGAGGTGCATCAGTATCACTCTTTATCAGCTTGTTCTAAACATATGATTATGACATGCTGAGAAGGTCTTGTTTTCTTTTAATTTCAATTTTTAAACTGTCAAGTCTGACAGATCAAAAAAATTACTTATGAAAAGGCAAACAAAAAGAAAATAGAAATCAGTATTTTTTCTTTTATTGGCTCTTGAGACTTTTGCTTACCTATTGTTAGGTTTTTCCCCAGTGAGTGGGAGTAGGCAAAACAGCAGCATTGATATGCTAGAGAAATTGTGTCGTAATAGAAATTTTTATTCCACCAGAGTCTTTGGCCATGAGTATCAAAAGTGGAAATGTGTTACTTCAAGTAAACATAACTTGTCTAAAAGGAGGTGGTTGGCCAATGTGTGTATGCAGTTACAATTTCTTATAGTATTAGTATGCATCATATATTTCTCAGAGCCAAGTGAAATGTTTTCTTGTATTTAATTTGAAGTATTTAACTAGTGGGTTTCTTCTAAGTAGTACAGTTGCTATATGCTGTTTTAATACAGACCACACATTCACAAAAAAAATTTTAAACTGTTCTAAAAATAGTTTCCTCCTCTTGTCATTAGGCATCACAGACGGGTGTTGGTGGAGTGGCTGCAGGATCCGTCCCAAGAGCTTGAGTTCATAGCTGACATTCTTAACCAAGATGCCAAAAATTACCATGCGTGGCAACACAGACAGTGGGTTATTCAGGTGTTGTATCCACAGAACTCTTGATTTACTACATAACCTGCTCAGGTTGTAGAGTTTTGCTTCTTAAATACAATCTGAATTGTGTTTGGCACTTTGTTTCTTAAGGCTTAAGGGGGAAAAACAATTGCATTTCAATTTGTGGAAGAGGTTAGTGATAAACTTGCCTTTGAAGCAGCAAGTTCAAAAAGGTCTGTTGTTGGCTGCTTACTGTTTCGTGTGTGAATTTAATGATACCACTGTGTGCAACTGAATAGTGTATCATGTTCCTAGCGTACCTTTCTTTATTTTTCTTTGAACTTTGTATTGATTTCTTTAAAAAAGTCTCTGTATCTAATGTTCAGAGGACTTAAGTGCAAGGGGAATATATTTTAAAAATAAGAACTTTTATTTGCGATATTCTCTCCTCCTGATCTTTCCATAGGAGTTCAAATTATGGGGCAATGAACTGGAATACGTAGACCAGCTTTTGAGGGAAGATGTGAGAAACAACTCTGTTTGGAACCAGCGACACTTTGTCATTTTCAACACCACTGGCTACGATGATCCAGCAGTCCTAGACAGAGAAGTCCAGTTAGTAATGCTGTTCATGCTCGCGTTAAGCATTCTCCATTACAGGAAAGCAAAGGAATACTTTACTTTGACAGTCACTGTGGGCTTGTCTTTCCTGTTTTTATTGCAGTTTTTGTGCTCACTCCCATGCATAGCAGATCAAGTGCTAGTGCTTATAGAGATGTGTTCAGTACCACTGATTTGCCAAGTAGTACTGAAACAAGCTATGCTTACCCTGGGCAAGCTGTTCTCGTGAATCCATCTTCGTGCCCAGCTGTGTACTGTGCAAAAAAAACTTTTGGCTTTTTATAGTCAGTTAGTTGTAGTGGAACCAGCCGCAGAAAATTTTATGACGCTGGAACCACATTAAGTTGTGCTGTTCATTAGTATCTTACGTCCTACCTGGAGAAAGCTTGGAAGGAGAGGCACTCTGTGTTGTAGTAACTGCTGCTTTACTAGTACACTAGCCATGGTTATTTAAAGATAACGTGGATGTGGATTGTAGGAAGAGGAATTGCCTTTTGTGAGGAATTTGATGCATATGGAAAAAGAAAGGAGCCTGCAGAGGTATGTGGTCAGCACAAAGACAACTTCCTGTGTCAGTTGGCTAGTTTTGAGGCAGAGGAGGTTTGGAAATTGTTTTGAAGTGATATGTTTGTAAGGGAAGACAAAGTGGTCTTCTAGCCATTTTGTTCTAGGGAGATAATATCAGGCAGGCCCAAGACAAGCTGAGAGCACCCAAAAAGCAGCAGATTCCAGGCAGTAAGTCAGCTCCATCGGTGGCCCAACTTAAATGCCTCTATGCAAATACACGTGGCATGGGAATAATAAACAAGAGGAGTCAGAGATGTGTCTGCACCTGCGGGGCTATGATCTTACTGGCATCACAGAGACGTGGTGGGATGAATTCTGTGACTGGAGTGTCAGAATGGAAGGATACAGGTCTTTAGGAAGCGCAGGCAGGGAAGACGAGGAGGAGGTGTCACCTTCTATGTCAAGGACCAGCTGGAGTGCATGGAGCTCCACCTGGGGATGGATGAGGAGCTGACTGAGGGCTATGGATCAGAATTAAAGGGAGGGCAGGGACAGGTGACATTCTAGTGAGGGTCTGCTACAGGCCACTGACCAGGAAGACCAAGTGGATGAGGTCCTCTATAGACAGATAGGAGCAGCCTCACATTCACAAGCCTTAGTCCTCCTGGGGGACGTGAGCCAGCCTGATACCTGTTGAAGGGAGAACGCAGCAGGGGATAAGCAATCCAGGAGGTTCCTGGAATGCGTTGATGATAACCTCCATCTCAAAGTGATAGAGGAACCAACAAGGAGAGGTTCCGTGCTGGACTTTGCTCTCACCAACAAGGAGGAGCTGGTGGGGAATGCGAAGCTTAAGGGCTTCCATGATTTAGGCTTGCATATTTCCAGCCTTTTATCTCAAGAGGTTAGATCTGACATCTTCCCTTGATCTGTTTATACGTGGTGCTGGGTTCAAGATAATCTTAAGAATGAGACTGTCTAAGGTTAAGACTTTCCACATGTCATGATAGACCTGTAGTTAGCCTGCTTGTTGCTTGATAAAATTGGTCTTTATCATAGTGACTGCAGAAGATTAAAAAAGGTTCAGAGTCGAGGTTTGTTTTTTTTAGTACTGCTTATTGAACTTTTTATCAGTATTTGTTGTCTCTGAAAATAGGCTGAATGCCTGGTTATGCTGGGGAAGGGCAGAAGGTAAAGTATGTTTTGTGAAGATGAAACGTGGCTTTATGACTGTACGACAGGTGCCTCTTGCTCTGCTTTTAGAGGAGTCATTTAATTGCTACTTGAAAAGGACTGGTGAAGAAGGCTATGTGAGCTGAAAGCTCAAGCTCTGCCTTTCTGTGGGTTTGCTCAAGGGCAGCCTCGTGAAAAAAGTTCTGCAAATAGGTACAGAGCATGCCACATGCAGTCATATTAACATAGCTCTCCTTGCTTTGTTATTGCCCATAATTTTGAGAACCGTTTGATTGCTGTATAAAATACAGCAAACGGAACACTTCAGAATTTAAAGTAGTTCTCATAACGTCTGCCTCTCTGAGACTTGCGGTGATTATATTGTGACACATTTTAAATCTGTGACCCAGTTGAAGTGATCTGCAAAAAGACTGTAATACAGGCTAGAGAGATGTATTTGGGAGTATCTGAGCACGTTCAGGTAATTTCTAACTGCATTGTTAGTGGTTGCATTTATCACCTTTTACCTTTTTCTCACAGATACACTCTTGAGATGATCACAGCAGTGCCACATAATGAGAGCGCTTGGAACTATTTAAAAGGGTGAGGCATCTTTCTTTGTGGGGCAAAGAGAGTGTCTGTAGAAGGTGTCTTATGCCTAACTCTTCACTGGAGAGAGCTTGTTGCTGTCCATTCTAGTGCTGTGTGCTTAAGCAGGCCGGCAACAACCTCCACAAGGGGTTAATATATTGGCCTAATTTCTCTGTAACTTTCCACTAAGTTTCTGGACCTGTAGTTCTTGTGGGAGGATTTCGAGTACTTCTCATGCTTTTTAAAAACTTGACCTGTGATGTTACTGGGTTCAAGAGCATAGAGTAGGAAGTAACGAGCATGCTTTCAGTCTAATTTCTGTTCATTTGAGCGTAACTGTACTAGCTTACTACAACATTAAGCTGTATTATTGCTGCGTGCAGCTTACCTTCTGCCTTACATGTGTTTGCACCCTTACTTCAAAACTGATCTCCAAAAAAAGGAGTCATAGCAAAAATGTAATTCTTCACACCAGATTTCCCAGTGCTATGTTTCAAGCCTGTTAACTTCTGTTCTAGGATTCTACAGGATCGTGGTCTTTCTAAGTATCCAAATCTGTTAGAGCAACTGTTGAATTTACAGCCCAGCCACAGTTCACCCTATCTGATTGCCTTTCTTGTGGACATATATGAAGATATGCTTGAAAACCAGTGTGATAACAAGGAAGAAACACTAAATAAGGCATTGGAGGTATGTTTTGAGAGCTTGGCTTTGCTTTTCAGGCATGCCACCTATTGCTCTCTTGTTTTGTATCCCGATAAAATGGGATTGATTTTCATAAATAGAACAGGTTACTTGCTAATCACAGGAGCTCTATGAAGAGTTAAACATGAAAGGCAAATAATCACAAGGGTCTCATGAATTTATCTATAAATAATAACTTGCCAGTTACAAAATCATTGCAAGTTTTCTTCATCTGGTAGTAAAGGAAGGTTTCTAATACTGCCTGCAAAAGGAAGGAGATGTTTGAACAATTAAGGAGTTTCCAATGCTAACATCGTAGCATGAACTCACTTTCTTCTCTGTAGGATAGTGACTCTTGTTCTTAGATCACCTGTATCTAAACAGAATCTCAAGCTCCCTTTGCATGTCTTAGCTCTTTCTAAGAAGGCTGGCAGAATTAGCTTAAAGGCCAGCAGGCACTGGGGACATTGGTAAGGAATCTCAGGCACCGTTTCCTACAGAGAATAAATTACTTCTAGCAATGTTGTGTGTCTCCCTGTGCTTCATATTCGGGGAACTCCTTGCTGTGGTTCGTAGTTTTTACAAGAATTTTCATTCACTGTGGGACAGACTGGAACTCAGTATAATTAGAGCTTCAGTTCTTGCCTGGAGTCTCCGAGTTCCAACATTGTTCTTTCTCAACATTTTTCCTTTGTTGTGTTCCAGAACCGGAGTGTAAATAAGTGCAAGTGTGCCTCCCAGATTCAAGTCCCTTTATACTATTTCACTGATTTTGACTTCTTCAGCTATTTAGGCTTCGAAGCTCGTATGTCTCAGCTCTGGTTCACTGATTAAGGCAATGTCATCTGCATAATAAAAGAGAATTGACTAGAACATTTGCAGACAGTGTTCATACCGTATAATTTTAAAACAGCATGTCCTGTGAGTAGCGTTCACTCTGCTGTGCCTCACTGCTCACCCTATGCTTCTGTATCTGTATAGCACCAGCTCTAACATGTTTTGAGAAGAGGTTACTGACTTGTATGGAGAATCCTTTTTGGGACAGCCCACTAAGAGGAAAACCATAAACAAAATATCTCCTGTCAGTCCTTTGGGAGTCCTGAAGATTCAACAGCAGGATGTTCCCCCACTGTTTTGAATGAAGTGTTTTACAGCCTACTGGATCACTAAAAGACAGTCAAGCTTGTCAGGAAGTCACAAGTATACTCCAGTATACTACAGGCTGAATAGACTGGGGTAGATGACAAGAAGTAGGCACAGAAAGGAGTCACGGGGAAGCAGTTGCAACTGAAATAGGACTGGAGAAATTTCTGTGCAATGTCAGATTGGTTGACTGCCAGTTGGAGTTGACATCAGTTTGAGGTCATTGGACAGTTGCAAATCTGGTGAATAAAACAAGTGTTACGAGGAAAGGTGTTTCTAATAGTGGATGAACCATATATTGTATGCATTTTATAAAGATAATTAAAGATTCCATAAGCTTTTGGTGTAACACTCCGATCTCTCAATTTTTTTTCATAGTTGTGTGAAATTCTGGCTAAAGAAAAAGACACCATCCGAAAGGAGTACTGGAGATACATTGGAAGGTCTCTTAAGAACAAGCACAGCTCGGGCACTGAGCAGAGCACGCTGACAGACAAGCAGCAGTAACTGAACACGGAAGAAAACGTTGCTAAGCTCTCAAGCTGTTCTAACGCAGTACCAAGTAGGGTCACCAACTCGTTTGAAATCCAGTGTAGTATTCCCCTAGTGCAGAGGTATTGCAATGAAAGAGGAGCGCAGAGTGCTGTATAGTCTTGGGTCACTGCTGCCACTGGTGATAGCTCTAGGTGCAGTCAAGGAACGTATTAAGGCTTAATTATTGAAATGTACCAAACACAAAGGGTTTAGTTCCTAATAATAAATACATGAAGCTATACCTACTATTTGTAAGGCACTAAACCAATTTCTCATGCCTTGGCTTATCCACACGTGGTTCCTAACACCACGATGTCAGATGCCGCAGTAGTGACTGCAGGTAACTTAGCTGTAGTGGATGTAGAGTAACCTACTTCTGGTGAGTGCCAGCAGGCAGTGGCCTTCTGTGGGAGCAGCTACGCAGGACTGACAGCACAGGCTATTGTACGCAGCTAACGCTGAGTGTCATTTTGTAACAAAACCAGATAACTTAAAGCATTTGTCTGAAACTGTTTAGTGTGTTTCTTTGGGTCTTTAGATGTGCGTAGTCTGTTCTTCTCAGATCCTATTAGAGATAAATTATCACCTTTTAGGGGTGTTGGATTCTATTACATTGAGGTGTCCGGAGTATTTCGCACTGGAGTATTCTCATCCCAGAAACTCTCAATACACTTGGTGTATTCACTGGAGCCTTGAGTTCTTTTCTACACAGTCAGGAAAAATGCTTTGAGGACCCTAGAAGACGTGTGTAGTTTTTTCTTGGAATTCTGTTCAGACAGTTGAAAATCTGAAATTATTTTTTTAACTCTTTGTAACCAGACCAAATTGAAGTCAGAGGTCAGAAGAGATTATAGCTGACTGGTTAGGTTATGTATCTTCACTGAACTAGAAGGGAAGGAATGGTTTTATTTGGGACCTATTTGCATTAAATGTCTTAACCCTGTTGCTCCTATAGGCTTTTCATATTTTTCCCATGCATATATTCAGCTAAGAAGTATTTTTCTTCCTATTGTGTAAGAGAGAAGGTACCTGCAGTACAGAACTGCAAAGGGTGTGTATATCTGTGCAAGAAAACTGCTTCTGCCTTATTTTCAGTAAATGGCTGTTGTATACTGTGTTCTTAGCATAGACTGCTTGTCTGATATGAAATATTTTCTTGGAGATTATCATAAAGATAACAAAAAAATACTAGTATTTAATCCATAATAGGAAGTCTTTCTGATACTAAGCATTAAAAGCTGCTGCTGTGATTAAACCAAAGTGGAGATGATTTTAAATGCTTGAAATGTGTTAATTCAATACATTTTTGAAATTTAAAACAACTCACAGGGAGTGGAATTAATATAGGAAATTATATAGGAATTAGTATAGGAAAGCTACATAATTTTTTAAATGTTTTTGCCGCTTTCCTAGCAGTAAACATTTTTATAGTGACACATGAACATTTAAAATGGACATGAACTTCAAACTTTAGATTTATGTGCTTTTTTCCCCCCCTTTTTTTTTAACACAGTTAAACCTCCAGCTTAGAACAAAAGGTATATGTTTCTACCCCTGTAAATTGTTGCTAATTGAAACTACACTAAATACGAAGTACTGATCAGTCATGATGTTCAAGATCTTCAGGACAAAGTAATATATTTGCCACTACCAGTCAAGAAAGCTCAGAGAGATACAACAGTCAAATGCCATCCTTGAACATCATCAATTAAGAGGGAACAGAATTTTGCCTCTGCATATGGTGTTACTAAGTTCCCATATCTTTCATAAACAAAACTCAGAGGGGACTTGGAATAAGGCAGAGTATTCTTTATAGACACTGGCATGAATTTCAGGGAAAACAACTCATCCAAAGGTAAGATAATGAACAGTATCCATTGGTAACAGTGTATTTTGGGATGTGACCTCTTAAGTCACTTGTGATCTGAGGAAGATCTTGGATTTAGCCCTGCTGTGCTTCTGTGTCAAGAATGGTGGGACCCTCTGAGAAGACTCTTAGATTATTTTCTTATGGTATGGTCAACTTAAAGCCTTTTCATGCCTGAAGATGATGTCTAGAAGTAATTGGTACAGAGTCATGTACTGAGAAGGTTAATGGCATTTTATACCGGTTATACAAGCATAGCAATACTTGTAAAGACAATGCCACTTCTGAACTAAGTTTGCTAGTGAAGGGATAACCAGATACATACTGTAACAGAAAAATATCTCATCTCATGTAAAACAAATGTGTGACTAAAGAAACCACGCAAATCCTAAGAAAAAAACATGGAGACTAGAGTCCAGGTTTTTTGTGTGTTTTTTTTTTTTAAAGAAGGTCATGTTTTAACAGAAAAGTTCAATTTTTCTTTCAAATGTTTTATGTTTACTGTCATTTGGATTGCGAGGACGCTCTAAATTCTCTTCAAAATCACCTCAGTTCTGCGTAGTCAGCCATGCTTGGAAATACTGAGCTGTCAGAGCTGGGGAAAATGACAGGCTGCCCAGCCAGGTTGCAACTGCAGCTACCAAGCCTTTAATTTTAAGAACGTGTCTGAGATAGGATCTTTATCATGGAAGCCAGAGCTTCACAACAGGTATAGAGGAAAGGTTCTTACAGTAGGAAGTGTTAGATGCCTTTAACCTGTAGGCATTACTACTGACTACCTGTGATCCTAAGGTACACATCTTCATCTGTACAAGAAGTCTTACTGTTGTAACGAATTGTCTGTAGTGATGTGACTCATGTATAATTACTGAAGAGCTGTGCCTAAATGGAAAACTCTGTTGGTACAACTGCCCCTTGTAAATCAGTGTAATTGGAACATTCAGTGGAGTATGCAGAAATTAAAGCATATTAAATAATTCCCATGCATGCTTTCATTGGAGGCTGATGTCCTTCTTACCTTGGTCTAGCTGTGTCTATCTGTCTGTCTAACCTGTTGCTGACCTCCACCTTATTGTCTCTGTAACTCAGCTGACAAAACCGCGTGCAAGTCCATCCTAATCTATTCGGTACAAAACCACCTCAGCTAGCACAGAACGCTTCTGTCAGTTGCTGTCTGACTGTACTGAGGCAGATCAGGAGCGTCCTGTTCAGCTGGACCTTCTGTGAGAGCAGTATCCTTCAGCAGGGAAGCAGTGAGGTTTCTAATCGCTCCCACCACGCGAAACACTTTTGCCCAAGTGCTCACAGGCAGTTCCTGCGGCGCAGTGGTGAGAAGGGGAGTATGGGTAGATGGACCCCTTCACGAGCACAAAATGCCTTAAAGCTTCTGTGGCTTTTGGAACAAAGGGGTAAGGGAACAACATTAAGTGATGGGGTGGAGTTATCCCTTATGGCCTTACACGAAGCCTTTGCAAATGCTGGTGGGCTTGCCTATGTGCAAGTTCAAAGGAGGCAGGGGGGAGACTGCAGGTGTGGTTTTTCTTGCCCTGTGCACGTCAATGGAGAGAGAGTATCTTTATTAAACACCTTGAGTCGCATGTCTCAGACGTTGTTCCAGATATGGCATGGTGTATGCAATAATACAAAAAAATTGCTCCTCAGCCTAGCTCATGCCATTTTCTGAACACCAGTGCCTTCTGCACATTACTGACATTGTGGAATAAGTTATGTGCTTTGCACTTTCTATTCCAAGTCTGGTTTTAGTTGGTAATTACCCCGTGGCTTTTGGGTTGGAAGCAGGTTTACCTAGTGTATCTTCTGCTTATGGCAGATTGTTTTGGAAAACTTGGGTAAGATGATGTTTGGCTGACTTTTGGCAAGCCTGTTAATGTGGCAGTATGGCGTTTTACTTCTAGTCCACAGGTGTCAATATAAATAACCATCTCTATTAAATATCTCAAGCTGAAAACATTTTCTCTCCCTTTAAAGCTGTACTGTCAGGCTTTTGGTACAATATATTCTATCAGCAAAGTATAAAAAAATTGCGTTTGAATATAAAACCTACATTGTTTTTTTCCTACAAAAGGTCCTTTCCAGAACCCGTGGCAATCTGGACTGCTCTGTATAATTCTGGTAATGAATAACATTGCCCTTTTAATGTACTCTGTGTACATTTACATGAGTGCACTCTGTATGGGTGCCCACTCAATACAGGCGAACGGTGGGTGAAGTCTGAAGCAGAGAATATTAATCTTTAAAGTAGACAATAATTTGTTTTTCTCCACTGTATATTATATAATGTTTAAGTGTTCAGATAGGGATGATCTGTACCTAGCAGAAGTCACAGAGTAAAAGTGACACGGTCATTGTCTCTATTCATCCCTTCTCTGCTCTTAGCATCCTTTTATCTTAATGCATCACTTGGTTTAAGAACATACGCCCTTCAGAAACAAGACTTTGAAAATTGGGAGCCTGTTCCTGGACTGGAAGTGATGCCGTTGACACCGTTCAGAGAGGAACATGTTTACAAGTTCTGGGCCTCCCTGTGCCTGCTTTGTAGAGTAACTTACCTCTGCTGCTAGGGTGGGCCCTGAATTTGCAGAGAATGAAAAAACAAAACAAAACAAAAAAAAAGCATTTTAGTGTGTAAAGAGGCACACAAATGTCTGCATGTGAACATTTAGGACGAGTGCCAAAATCAAGGGTGCATACACTCATTTAGGTTTCTGTATAAGTACTCGGCATGAAGAACTAATAGAAGCTTCACCATATTTAGCTAGGAACCCCGCCTCAGGATGTGTAGATGTCTTTATCATCTGTCCTATTATGTAAGCTCCTTGGGTCTAGGACTCTGTGCTCCGTTACATGTGTCATCCATCACTGTTCCTCAGGAAGCCATGAGATATAATCCTACCTAAGATTTCAGCCTTGGGGAATTGAAATCTTTGCTATATCGTTTTTCTGCTGCTGCGCAGCAAGGAAAGTGGACATTAATCACTAGATGGCAGTGTGAAATTCGCCCTGAGTTCCTGACACTGGCTATGTGCAGGCAAGCAGAGATGTAACTAGGACAACTTTCTCCATGCAAGACCACTAATTTCACACCTGCTAATTAAATATGGAGAAGCAGCTGCTTGGTAAGTCAATACATAACACCACAGAGGGCTCAAGCACAAGTATTCTGGAAGAGGCTAAATGATCACTAAAAATTGTTGGTGCTAATTGGAAAGCAATTTTTCATTAACTGAAGTTATGTCTCTTCTGACACTGGACGCTTTGTACCAGATCTGGACTCTGTTGAGTGCGAGTGTTCTAAAATAACCATGTGACTAAACCCCTCTGCTCAGAGCGTGGGTATTGTGGCTGGTTTCTACCTTTGGAGATGTGCCTC